CAAAGATCCCCACGCAAAAGGGTATTACAGAAAGGCGGACTCCCAGACTCAGGATGCTATCAACTTGTCTGCTCCATGGACATTGACGCTGGTCCTACGGCGAAGCCCAAGCCAAAGAGTAAGGTCAAGGCTGGACGCAAAAGACGCCAAGTCCCACGTGATGGACAGTGAGAACTACAAGTTCGATCGAAGAACCAGGCCAAGGAGAAAAACTTTGGCGGAGCACTGTGCTTTAGGATCGTAGCGCTGTAGCTCTATGGTTTTTTAGACTCCAGCCAACTTAGACCCTGCGCGGTGTTGAAAAACAAATGAGTTGCGCAGCAGCCCTGTACCTTTACCATGAAGATGTGTGACGCTGTGAAACCCTTTTGTTTTGAGACAGTCTTGAGAAAAGCTTGAGAGACTCTTGAGAGATCTTGCGAGAACCTTGAGAGACATTGAGGGAGTTTGTTGGTCCGACCCTACTCCTAGATGATTTGTTCATGAGTTTTTTCAAGCCTGGAAAACGACTGATTCGAAGTTTGTTCGAAAGTTCTTCGAAACTTCGAAGTGGACTCCTTCGAAGTTTGTTCGAAGTTCATTCGAAGTTTGTTCAATATCTATTCGAAGTTTTGTTCGAAGTTTATTTGAAGTGTATCAAAAACACTGTAAATACCATTGTTTTCAACATATACATACTTATAAACTTCGAATAAACTTCGATTGAAACTTCGAATGCTCGATTCGAAGTTTCGAAGAACTTTCGAACAAACTTCGAATCAGTACTTTGGCAACATTAAAACTCTATGTTGTGATCGGACAACGACCTTGAAATGTTTTGTTGGAACCTGACGACAATCTTGAAACCTTTTGATGGTGTCCTTGAACCTTGAAGTCAAACCTTTGTTGCTCACAGCTTTCTTGGTTTGAGAGAGTGAACGAACGATCGTGATCGATAACTTTGTGTGTGTGTGTCTCGACCTTGGACACTGCCAGCCGCTTCCAAGCGCCCCGCGGCCAATGTGGATGACACCACACAGGTGAAGAAGAAGCCGGCAGCGATGCCGAGTGTGAATGAAACCCTGCGCAAGCTCAAGAGGGCCACGGCTTCTCCTGAGGATGAGGAGCATGAAGCTGGCGCAATGGTTTTGAGCAAGCGCGACAAAGGGAAAGGTGAAAGATTCGCTCGGATGCGTGCAGCTGGGCAGACCCCCCAGCATATACTCCACCTATACGACGAGACCGCGAAGCAGAGTCCTTCTCCCAGAGATTTTCGCACCAACGTCATCAACCAGTTGTTCAATAAGTCTGACAGTGGAGTATGCACGATGAACACTGGGCCAAGCTCTTCACGGAGGGCCAAGCTCTTCACGGAGGCGTGCAGAGTCTATCAACAGAGGTACGCCAGGGACGAACAAGAGGCGATGTCCCGCTCAGTCATGCTTGGCCTCTTTTTTCAAAACAACATCCAGGCCAGACGTTTTTCCACGCACCTTCTGTGAAACCGAGTGAGAGAGAGAGAGTGAGAGAGAAAGGAAAGAGGCAGAGAAAAGAAAGACTAGAATAAAGACAAACAGTACGAAAGACAGAGAGAGAGAAAGACCGAAAGAAACAAAGAAAGAAAGACTAACAGAGAGAGAGAGAGGGGATGAATGAAATGAAACTCTCAAGGTTTCCTCTCACAAGGTTGTTTCACTCAAAGGTTTGTCTGAATGAATGAATGAAAGAATGAATGAATGAGTGAATGAATGAGTGAATGAATGAGTGAATGAGTGAATGAATGAGTGAATGATTGATTGATTGAATGAACAAACAAAATGGCTGTATATGAAAGGTTGTGGTTAGACGGTGTTGTTTTCACATATATACTGTTGATCTTTATGTCACCTTTTGTACATTCTTGCAACTCTGTGTGTCCAAAGCCAAGACAGCGCCCTGCAACCCTGCACATAGGTTCACAAAAGTTGTGTAAACATGGAGCTCACAAAACCTTCAATTTCCAATCATATCGCTTCGAAGTTTGACCGACGGCAATTCGAAGTTTGTTCGAAGTTTCCATATCTAAATTTACAGAAAATAGCTAAATTTACGGAACATAGTTAAATCTGATTTAGCTAAATTTGCAGAAAATGGTTAAATTTACAGAAAATAGTTAAATCATATTTTCGTTTTATTTTTAGAAACTAGTTAAATGTTATATTTAACTATTTTCGAAAACATTTTTAACTTAACTATTTTCTAGGAATTCTACGTTGTAGTTAAATGTTTAGGAATTGTCTATATTTTTAACTAAGCCGGTCTATTGGGTATCAAATTCGATAGCCTCACTCCAGGTTTCCACCAAGCTCCTGTAGGTCCATCCTTGTGAGCTGCTGCTCAGAAAAACAAAGCATGAACGTGGCGGGCCAGCCACCACTATGGCACGTTCTGTCAAGCGCAAGCCCAGCAACAAAAGGTTGACGAAGCCTTCTTTCGCCGCCAGGTCATGAGAGGGGTCCTGCAAAATGTTGTAGGACTCACCATCAAAACCACGATCAAGCCATGTGGCCTTGATCCTCCCGCTTGCGCCAGGGCACGCAGGTCTTGAGGACCCTGAAATTCCTTTGCCTACCTCATCCAGTAGCGCAAGTGCAACTTGGCCTCGTACCACATGCGCTCATTCGCGTTTGTTCTGGTATCTTGCACAGCCTCAACACACCAAGCTGCTACTGCTGCAGCGATAAAAAGGCGCAGAATCATCGCCATGAACCTACACTCACACCAATAATGATGACTTGAGCTGAAGTCACTGAAACCACGGACTAATGTTTTCAAATCCAAATCCAAACCTCCGTGAGAGGTTGCCTGCAGCAACCCCTGAAAACACTCCAACTTAGATCTTTCAGAACATGATAGTCCAAGAAAAAGCAAAACGATCCAATGTCTTTCACATCTATCACTCAATTCCAAAATTCTTGTGCTGCAAGCCCGGCCACAGCATTGTATAAACAAAGCGCCAGGTTGAAGAGATCTTAAACACATTTATATAACGCAAACGTAGGCCCCCGAACTTTGTGAAGGAACCACTTCTGCTTCTGCGAGCTGCTGCGAAGGTAGTCTCTGCAAGTCATGTGACTGGAGGCATACTTCCCCCTCAGCATGCCTAACCACTCTTCTATAATGCATTCGGTGGACTTGTGTGGCAGCCAACAAGATGGATTGCAAGGGATGGAGCAGACAGCTGTTATTGTTTTTTCTGTGTGGATTTTTCAGTGTTTTTGTTGGCGCCAGGAATTCATAAATCAATGGTGTCCCAGTCCCGGGATGTCCCGGGGAGGACGTGGGAAGGAATCCCACCAAGATCTAGGATGTTTCCCTGGGGAGTTCAATGTTCCTACGACAGGATTTTATAGAACCTAAATTGTGAAACATGAGCCTCGACTACAGGACTTCATAAATCTCGCGAATCGGATTTTCCTTTTCTAGGACCCCAGGTCAGCCGTGAGTACGCACGGGTATCTTACTTGCTTTCGGTTGGTTTTAAAAAGAGCTCACCCTGTTTTCCTTCCCTCCCTTCCACAGCACGGCTTGTAGATGCATTTGGTTCACATTCGCCACTTCGCAGTTGATTCACTTCAGAAGTTCCCAACCTCCTGAACGCCTGCTGGTTTTTCACTTAGGTTGGCGTGTGGCAAACCGCAATCATGTCAGCACGCTTTATCTTGAGTATGTCAATAAGTGTGTGTGCCACCCTGTCAGGTTGAAGGTTGAAGAACTGATGTAAGACGTCAGGTTGTTCAAATGTCTAAAACTCAAGCAGCACTATGTCACTATGATATAGTGCAAACATTGGAATCACCTTGACGGTTGGTAGGTTCATTTGATTGTGTTGGTGCCCATTGGCATCAAGGAGTCCCAACAAGTCAAAAAGTCAAAACAGGCTGGAACAAGGCATGTCAAGGTTTCGGGGTTTCATGAACCGCTGGCTTTTGGTTTCGTGCGCCCTGTGATCTTCAATGTGGTTTACTGACCTGATAGTGAAGCGGATGCATGTATACATATATATATATACATACACATAGAATTATACATAATGCATCGGGTGGAGTAGGGTGAATGGAGTGTGTTTATGGGGTCAACCTTGTCACCCTTGACCTGCTTTGTTTGTTCGGGTTGCCCGACCCAACTGGATGGGCCAAGGCCATCTGGAGAACCGGTGCCAGGTGCTCCAGGTTCCAAGGCCAGGTGCTTTCGTTGGTGTGGTTGGGACACCGCTGCAGGGACAGCAAGCACACACAGTACACGCAGTGGTGAGCCCAAACCTAGCCACAATGGTGTAGATCTGGGCCAGCCTTTGGACCAACCCTTGGATCCTTCAGTTGGCGCACCAGATTCGCGACAGGTTGTTCCATTGGAACGTGTAGACACGGTTGTCCCGTGCACCAGGAGTACGATGCGCGCAGGGCCAAGGCACTGAAACTTCTGGATGAGTCCATCAGCTCTTTGTTGGCGCAGCTGGGCAGCATGGGGGGAGAGGGAGAACTCATATGGGACAGACACCAAACAAAGACTCAGCTTGGCTGCATTCCGGTACTTCGAAGGCTCCTGCTGCGGGACCAGGGCCATTTATAGCACTTGTAAATGGGTGATCGCCAGAAGAAAGCAGATTCTTGCACTGGATGCATATCATTGAGACGTCGGGAGCGTGACAATGCCAGATTGGTTTTCCAAAGGAGGTCCAGCTCTGCCCTGTTGTGGGGCTTGAGGCCAAGCAGTGCGCCAGAGAGCCTGGCACTTGTCACTTGTGAGACGAACTGGAGGTTGAGGTTCACTAAGATCCTGTGCATTTTTGAGGCACACGCTTGCCTCCTGAGCTCAGGCCAGGCTAGTAGTGCAACACACAGAACTTGCAGCAAATGCATAATGTCCAGATGTCGAAGTCCAGGGGCCATCTCAGATTACTGCAAATGGTGGTAGATTCCGGTGGATAGTATCGGAGCTATGTGTACATCCTTTGGTTCAAGGTCGGATCTCAACAAGCCATGCGCCGAACCTTATTTGAAGAGCTGGGCTTGAAATCAAAGTCCTGCCGGGTCTGGGATAGCCATGTAGCTGTGGGGCTCAGCTGCTTTGCCTTCGCACCCAGCGCGGCCGCTTTTTGGGCAGTCTTCTTGTGCCTGGTGCGCGTGGAGATACAGGTGAGGCACTCAGGATGTCAGAGGACAAGGTTCGGTTCTCTTTGGCAATTCTGCACAGGAGCCTGGCATTTTGATCCAGATGATCCTATACCCACTGCTTGGCTGCATGTATACCTTGGTGGTCATAACATCTTACTTGGCCGACTTTTTGTTTATTAAGAGGGAGCAAAGGTCTCTCTACGGAGCCTTAGCCTTAGCTGAGATATTGCAAGAAAGGAGTTTCTTTCGGCTGTTTCATGCATCCGTTCGTAATCAAAATTGTTAGACAACCTATATATTTTTTTTATACTATATTACATTGCATTATATATCTCTTGTTGTGGTTTGTGTTAGCACTGTTCCAAAGCCTGGCCTTGGCTACCCTGTCTCAGCAAGCTTGAGGAAGAGTCGACATTGCCTTTGCATCGGCGACATTCTTTCTCTCGATGTTTGATTACTATTTGAGGGCAACGTTCTGGGAAACCATGATGCTGGTTGTCATTGCCCTGGCGGCCTTTGTTTCTTGGAGCTCAGTGAGCAATCCATTGTATAGATGTTTGCGGGATCGCTGATTCTGGGTTCACCAAAAGTGTTGGAAAGACTACAGCGGCTTGTGACGTGCCACCCCTGTTTTAAAAGGATGGGGTTTGGGAATGCTTTTGTTATGCTTTTTCTTCGGGTTCAGTTCCTAGTGGACAAGGGCAGCAACAGGTAGCTTGCCCAGCCCACCTTTGGCTGTAGGGTGCGATGAATACTGGATTCCAAGAATCTGCCAACCAAAAATGGATCACACAACTCTGTCTCGAGCCTGCTAGGCTTGGTCGGGACAATCTCAATCGTTCGAGATATGGGTTTGGCGGCATAGCCTTTGGCATGTCATCGGGGGCTCTGTTGCGCTCTACGGTGCCCTCATGCACCTGCCAGCGGCTGATCGTGGCTCGGTGCGAAGGGTCATTGAGTGCAGCGTTGGGGGCTGGTGTGGTAGACTGGTTTGCCCTGCTTAGGTATCCTCAGCCAGTTGTATCTTTGCTGCAAAAGGTTCCGTTCTTTGCCGCTGTTGATGTCATGCCAGCATTTCAGCATTTCATGTGAATGTGAAAACACCCAGCTCCCCTTTGGGCCTGAGGCCCTTGCAGCTCTTGCTTATGCAGAGCCTCTATGGGCTTGCTATTTGTGTCTTCCTTGTGATCCGGCAGAACCTGGACAAGAAGCAGCAGGATGAGCTATGGTCTACTTGGGCTGTGCTAGATCCTCAGGCCGCCAACATCATGCTGGTGTGATGGGATAGTGGACTAAGGTATGCTGACTGGCAGCTCCATCCAAGCCTTGGCGGCTTGGAGTCGACTATAAAGCACAGCACCAAAGGGTGAGCATTTACGAATAGAAAGGCCAGAGTCCTGAAGACTGAGGGGAAGCTCCGAAAGGCCTCTTGGAGGTTGGAGAATAAGCCATTGTCGAGTTCAGTGCCACAGGCGGGGATTTTTGTGTGGTTTGGCATTTGGGCACTTGAGCAGGCTTCTGACTTGTCCACTGCACACAATCAATTGAGGCACTCATGACGTCGCACTCTGGTTCAAGCCTCTAAGTAGAACTAATGACATTATATATGCAGTCCATAGGACCATAAGCTTGCCATGGCTACATACCCTCTTTTGACTTATGCGCCTTCCACGTCAATCCAGGTGACCGCAAAAGCTTCATTGCATCAGAGTGTGAAGGGTGCGAGGCGCCGTGTTGCACATTGCTTGGCGGAGGGTCGTCATGTTCTCCCTATGATTAGTGCAGGTTTGTGTGCTATAGGCGCTACAGTCACCCGAAAACTTCGAAGGCCCTGCAAGGAGACACAGAGATCTGCATGGGCTTGGCCTTGGGAATGGGGAACTGCAACGCTGGCGGCAGAGATTCGTGATCTCCTCCTGGCGGCAAAGGGTGACCCCTTGGAAGCTGATGCTCGACAGATGGTGGAGCAGGGAATCGATCGCCTGGCAGAGGCGCGGGTGGCTTGTCCCGCAGAACTCTTAGGATTCAGCAGCTCTCCGAGTGATGGGCTTTGGCGGTCGGTGTTCATCCAGGGGAAGACCCCGAAATGGGAGGAAAACGCGCGGCTTCTGAGACCACTGGTGCAAAACAAAGTGGGCCAAGCCTATGATGCTGGCAAGGGCCGAGTCACTAACTATGGGGAGATCCTCGGTGCTGGACTGCATTTTGTGGCTGAGGGTAGCTTCACCCCAGTGGATGATGCCGGCCAGTGTCCAAAGGAATTTGACGTGAAGATTGAGCAGGGTGGTTTGGTGATTCTGGGAGTGCCGTTGTTGTCAACAGCCATCTCCGGCCCTGGGCTGGTCAGGGTCCTATACATCGATGAAGACATCCGAATCTTCGAGTCGCCCACAGACAGTCCTGACCGCTGGGAAGAGCAGGGTTTGCGAGTGATACAGGTTCGTGACCAGCTATACAAGGACTAGATTATGCTGGTGGTGGGGCATGTTCATGGACGCTGCGCGGAGATGACGTGACCGCGGACTGCCACAGCCTTCTCACACCATGGTCTCCATGTTACAGTTTATGCTGTTCCTGAAATGTTGTGCAGCATACGGAGTGAAGCCAAAGTGCTGAGGCAAAAGGCTTGAGTCACGGTCCAGGGGTATACTTTAGCAGGAGGGCCAGCAAGGCCATTGAGGCTGCCAAGTGCATGGTGCGAAACCGGAGGAACATGTCTCACGAGGTGTTTGGGTTGCTAGTGTGGGGCATTTCCAGGTCTGGCTGTTTTTGCCCTTTGGCTTTTGATGACTTTTGGATGCTTCTAGCCAATAGCGCCATGGAGATCGGAACAGCGGTTTTTGTGAAGGGTAAGGGGCGTGGCCTGGTGGCTCTTGACAATGAGGATGGGACTTGGAGGCTAGACTTGTTTGATGAAGAAATCACCTTAATATATAATGGTCAAAGTTCCATTGGTTTGACCAGTTCCATTGTGTGTTTCTTTATCCGCTTTTGTCTTCCAAAGCTTGTAGCTTGGACTGCAGCGCCAAGGAATGTTGAGTTTGATGACGACGGCATGGAGGGAGATTTTCGCACAGAGGACATGAATGGGGCATGTGAGATCCGTCCACAAGCATTGGGATGGATGTTGGCTGCTGCTGCTGCTGCTTCTGCTGCTGCGGCGAAGATGACTCTTGATGCTACTAATGCCAACTACTTCTCCTCCTGCTTCTGGGTCTTTTTGGAGAAGGGATGCTTTTCGATTAAAGAGTTGTCGATGTCGGTTGGAGAGGAATAGGCAGAGAACCTTAACCAAAAGAACGTTCCTCATAGTGCCTCAGATGACATGATCATGGTGCTCGTATGGAGAGGCGGCGTGAGGCCTTTGTTTGACTTGCTGTTGTGCCAGTGTGCCATCATCTATCATCTACTGAGCATTGTAAACCAATGAGGGGATCCAAGGGCAAGTCCCTACCTCCTATGTCTCGCAGATAAAATGCTTTCTCACAAACCTCATGTGGACTGGAGTGGATACATTTGTTGGAAGAGATTTGAAGTGGCTGACGCAGGATCTGCAGCGTGTAGAAGACCTCGTTCAGAGCTGGTGTCCTGCTGGAGCTCACCTGGTTCCAGAGCCGTGGACTGCGAAGTGTCCTGAGGGCTGGACACGCTTTGTATGCTTTAGCCACCTGGCTGTTTTGGCTCAGGCTCTGGGTGACCATAGTTGAGCATAGGTGACCATAGGTGACCATGACACTCTCAAGGGGCTGGGAGATACATGCGGATGCATTGCAGATGCATTGCAGGGGTGTTTGTTTGGTCTTTCTTTTAAACGTGGTTTTGCTCAAGTTGTTTGAAGTCGTGGTGCGGAATGACAGAACTTCCCAGCCAGGTGCTTGAGACAAACCATTTAGGGCAGCTGATTCTGACTGAGGCGACACTCATGGCCTGCACGCATTGATCCCAAAGAAGCACATGCCAGCAGGAGATGTTTTGTTGCATGCAGGCAGGCGGAGAGATCACACCGTGCTGTACTCAAAGAAGTTTGCATGCAAGAGTAACTACTGTGCACTGTTTTCTCAATGCCCGGAAAAATGTACTCCAGCTGAAAAGTGCACTCGCGTGGACCTTGGACAGGTGACTTCACAAACACTGGTGAACTAGAGCAAATCGAATCCTTCAACGAATGGCTCGAAACCTACCCGGCAGAGCACAAAGTCGTGATTGCTGGAAATCACGACATCACCCTCCACGAGGAGTACTACAAGGGCCGTGGGGCAAAACGTTTTCACCCACATAAATCCTATGACTGTACGAAGGCCAAGGCTTTGCTGAAAGGCTGCATATACTTGGAGGATGCGTCCAAGGAAGTGCGTGGGTACCAGGTCTACGGATCGCCTTGGCAACCCGAATTCTGCGACTGGGCCTTTAACCTTCCGCGTGGTGAGGAACTACGAAGGTGCTGGGGTGCAATCCCAGAAGATACTGACATTTTATTGGTCCACGGCCCACCTGCGGGACATGTGGATCGGACCTCTCGTGACACCCGGGTAGGTTGTGAGGACTTGCTGGCTGCGATCCAGGACCGTCGCGTGTCTGTGGTGGTCACTGGGCATCTCCATGAGAGCTATGGCACGTCTGCAGATGAGGTGACACTGTTCGTGAACGCCTCCACGTGCACATCCGAGTACAATCCCACAAGGCCACCCATCGTTTTCGATCTCCCACCACCTCGAGAACTTCAGGAGGCGACGACCAGAGCCGCCTCCCAGAGAAGAGCGGCCAGGGCAGATTGAGGTGGGATGGGGTGGGTCAAAAACCACACTTGGACTTATTGCATGAACGATTTTGAAAGGATTGGCATTGTTAACCGGTTGACCTATATCACAAAAGACAATACACGTTTTGACCCCAGAAGATTGCATTGAAGCTGGACAGCTCGTCTCTCAGCTGTTGTACAGTTCACCCAGCTCCTAGCGCATTGCAGTCGCGCAAAATACGGGCGAAGCTGTCGGGACCGGTTTTGGATTGACATCCTTTTGCCATTCAAAGTTCATGGACAGGGCCCATCCGAGAAGCAAGAGAAGTGAGGGAGTTGGGCAGCGTGCAGAGTGCTTCAGGTAGGCTTCAGAGTAGGAGCAACGAGCATGGATGATTAGACTATGATTAGATGGACAGAAGATTTGGCTTTAGTTTCACTTGCCCCACAGACTGCCATGCGCAAGATGGGCTGCAATGACCTGCCCATTCATGCTAGCAGGATTGGAGCACGACTCCAAGACCAGAGAAAAGTTTTTTCGGGCTGAGAATGCAGCCGCTGATGAGAATCCGAGATAGGCCCTGTCGCCTCCACATGTGATATCAATTTCCAGGCCTGCAGTGAATGGATCTTCTTCACCTGAGGACTGTGGTGCTGCTATTGAAGCAGCTCAGATAACTATCCAGCCGTTTGAATGGATTAATTATGCAGGAGTCTGGCGAGCCGCCCTCCAGCGAGGCTGGCGTTGTGTACCGTGAAAGTCAAGAGGAACCCAGTCTTGTCCACTCCTTTTCATCCCTTCCCATGCACGCACACAATGCACACAGAACATCTTCCAGAGGTGGAACCAGCAGATGTTTGAAGCCAAGTGGGCGAATGCGTGAAATCGAAGCTTCCAGCGGCCAAAGAGCCAAAGTGCGGTGCGATCGGACAGTCCAGTGCCAAGCGACCAGAAAGAAAGAATGGCCCGCATGTCTTTGACCAAAAAGAAGTGCGGTGATGCTGCGCGGCTGAAGACATGTTGGAACCTCTGATTGGGATTGCCTCTCATCACTGATCTTCTAATTTTTGCTTGAAACCCTCTGCCGAGATCAAGCTCTTTTAGGGAGGAGTTTCTGGCCTGCCACGATGAAAGCTTCGCAGCCATCCCTCACTGTGGCGTACTTGGTCCTCCTCCTCGCTTCCTCCGGTCTGGTCCTGTCCCTGGCACCTTGGTGCATGCTTCACCCATTTTCACCTCAAACATGCGGGGCAAATTGGATCGTGGAATTTGATTCAAGATGCAGCAGTTTAGTTTAGTTGGATCTAATTTCAAAAGTAAAGCTGAGGTTGCCCTGGTTGGTGTTTGGTGGCATGGGAAGATCAATCCGGATTTGTTTGGAGGAGCGATTCAGGGCCGAGGCTGGGAGATGTTTACACTATTGTGGGAAGAGAGAGAGAGAGAGGCTGCGAGATCTTGTGACAGAGTCAGACAGAGTCAGAGAGCCTGAAGATGGTGAAGCACTAGCAGTCACTGGCGCTAGGTTCACCTTGGTTTGTCGAAAATGGATGCAAAATCCCAAACCATTGCAGCGTCAGGAAGTCTTAGTCTCTGGGACTTCACCACCTCAGCAGATCTACTGGGAATCAGACTTCCTCAGACCTTCATGAGCTTGGACTCGAGCACCTGTGCCGGGCATTCGCCAGTCTTTGACACTGAGGTGCCAGCTCCAGGTCCCTGAAGAGTTGACATTCGTGTAAACCGCTTTGGCAGGAGATGTGCTCTAAGCTCCATGCAATCAGAGGACTGGCCGCGGCCTGAGTTGATTGGTCCTCCAGAATTGGCAGAGCTTTAGAGGTTGGATCATCATTGAGGTGATCTCTTCAGTGGTTTTCATGAGTTTGACCCTTCTTGCTGCAACTGGCGCCCTATTTGCTGCCGGCGGCTGCTGCAGGGGTAATCACAAAGTCAGGACGGCATGTGCGTGGTTGACCTGGTGTTTGCAAAATGCCGTGATTGCCAGACAGTGTGTCAGGAGTCAGCTGACAACATCTTTCTTGTCCGTGGCATCTTTTGCTTGCATGCTGGGTGCACTAGCCGTGGGCGCATCTGCAGATACAGCACACATGATGAAGGAGTTTGGTGGTATGGGCTCAGCTTTCTATTGCAACTTGACTGGTTCTTCCATTCTTGCTCCATCTCTTTATCATAGAGCGCGCATGAATACCAGTGCTCTTTATTTTGAGGTGCCGTGGCCCAAGTCTTTGTAGGGCTGCTGCTGGCCAATATCTCATGTTTGGGTGGGTCTGCACCTGAGATGGAGCCCCGTCCAACTGCTCGGCGCCAATTTGGCGCTTCGCAGGGCACTGAGGTGCTGCCTGACGAAAGGGGATGCCAGAGCCATGCCCAGCGAGGGATCTGAAGTTTGAGGTGGAAGGCTTCCTTGAGCCACTTGGGTCACTCGCCAAGACTTGCCAACCGGCTCCCTAAAGCGCTCTTCAGCAATGTTGATGTCTTCCGTTGATCAATATTGGACGACACGGACCTCTTCAGGTTCAAGAGGTTGCACGACAGTCTTGGGCGGCCTTGTGAAGACTGGCCGTTGCATGAATTCTGGTGGCGAGGTTCACCTTAATGTGCACAGAGGGCAAGGCTTGCACGCAGCAGACGATAGCTGGATCCTATGTACAAATTTTGGATCCTGCCTTCGTTCCAGTTTCAAGCACCGTGCAAAGCTCCCTGGCCGCCTGGCCTCAGCTTGTTTCAGATGTGCAGGTTTAAAAGGCTTTGCATGTTCTTCGCCTCATGTGTCTTGGGTTGGGACAACAGGGCCAAACGGACAATTTTGCAGGGGAGCTCATTGGCTCAGACTTTCACCCCAAAGGGTTACTGGGGCGCCATGGATGGCAAGGAGAGCTGCAACATTCCTTGGTAGCCTTGGCGCTTGAGCAGGGCATTGCACTTTGGCGATGTAGGACCATCTGGCGGCCCCGCTGCTTGGGAAGAAAGGACCTTCCTTAACACCTCTCTATGCAGCAACCTGGCTGCCTTTGCAAGACTTCAACGGTCATGCCAACACTGCTGACTCCTGAGGTCAGCCTACTTCGAACGTCGCTTCCTCGGCATGTCCTTTCTTGTTGACAAGAAGCTGTTGCCCATGTCAGGACAGCAGTAGCCATCGCTATGATCCCAGCCTTCAACTTGCGGGCTGCTTGGTGATGAACATAATACGGTCCAAGCAAACTACCCATCCTGTCAGAGATGACAAGAATTTTAGCAACAAGATTCCACCGACCTGAATGCTATGTGCAAGGCTTCTTTTGCTGGGCTTGACCACCACTAACTACAACAAAGCTACCACTGCTGCTGCTGCTGCTGCTACTTCTGCTGCTGCTACTTGATGAACACCGTCACTATGAACATGGACCATGGAGAGACACCTGGACGCCGAAAGAAGAGTCTTGAGGTTTCTGCGCTGGGCAAGGCGGCAGGCTACGACTCCGCGGCTGTCGCCAATGCGTTGGGTCGATGGCTTATCTCTCGGCTTGTTTTTGTGGCATGAAGGAAATTGGCTGAAGTTGTCGAGCAATGCCATCATGCTGCTGTGCGGCATTTCCCAAATTGATGCTAGAAGTTTGCTGACCTGGGCCTGGCTGATGGTGGGGGAGTACCAAGAAATGCCTAGAATGGGCCTAGAACATTGAGGCCTTATCACGGCCCTCCGGAGCTTCTCAGAATTCACCGCGGCTCCGCTGCTGGCCTCCTGGTCGGACCGTCAGGGCCGGAAGCGGGCGCTGCTGATGTCTTCGGTGGCCTTCGTCTTGGAAGCCGCGCTCATCGCGGTGGGGACCCGGATGTGGATGTGGGGTGATGTGGGGTTGCTGCTTTGGCGACTTCAGGAAGGATGGGTTTGTGAAGTAGTAAGGGCTCCTTGTTCCTACCAGGGGGTCACCAACAAGCCTCTTTCTTGCCCCCTTTCTTGCGTGAATATCAGCATGAAGGCAGCATGTAAAGCAAGTACTGGTGCCCAAGAAAAGCGTTCGGCGTTTATTATTAGCATACGTCAAAAGGCAATTCACACACCAGTTTTGACAGGCTCTATTTTCTGGCAGGGTGCCGGCGTTGGATTTCGTTCTACGAAAAGGGTTCTGCTAATGGACCGCATTCGGTCCAATGCCTCGAACTCATGAAGCACCCCGCCAGGTCTCACCTGGGCTGCTGATGATGGGACTTGTTCATGTCACAGCAGGATTTTTGGCATCCAATGGCGCCATTGAGACCAGCTGCATCGCTGCACGGAGCTGAGAACCCATGGATTTTTGCTTGCCGGAGTCGCCGACCCGCCGACCTCACGGGAAGCCGATGCAGAACACCCAACGACGTCAGGATGCCACCCCTGCGGGTCCAAGACGTGCGGTCGCCGTGGGCCGCTTCTTGACGGATCCTTGGAAGAGAAGAATCTGGTAGCGTCCTTGCTCCTAGTAGTAAGGCCAGGAGCCCCTAGTAGCGTCCTTGCTCCTAGTAGTAAGGCCAGGAGCCCCTAGTAGCGTCCTTGCTCCTAGTAGTAAGGCCAGGAGCCCCTAGTAGCGTCCTTGCTCCTAGTAGTACGGCCAGGAGCCCCTAGTAGCGTCCTTGCTCCTAGCAGTACGGCCAGGAGCCCCTAGTAGCGTCCTTGCTCCTAGCAGTACCGCCAGGAGCCCCTAGTAGCGTCCCTGCTACTAAGGCCAGGAGCGCCTAGTAGCTTTCCCGCGGACCCATCACCGATATGAGCGAAGCCACAACCCTCCCAACAGCAGAGCCACCAAGTCTGGATCACGTTGGGCCTCTAGGAACGTCAGTCATCAGTCAAACCAATCTTTGTCCCGGATTCTTACCACGCCCCGTATATGGTCTGTTGGAATCAGTTTTGCGATGTTTTCTCGCTGGGAGCTTCAAGAACTCGCAACCCTGAGGTTGTGGGCGCTGCCTTGGTGTTGGGCGCCTTTTGCGGAGGCCTCTTGCTTGAGCACTGGGGTGGCCGCTCACCCTTTGCATGCGCGGCTGTGCTGGCCTTTGTGGCAGTGCTGGCATTGATTAGCTTCGTGCCGGCGCCTTGACTAGGATGCTGCGGAGCGGTGGTTGCTGCATCAGGGATTTGCGGGTTCTCCTTCATCACTTCATGAAGAAAAACCGTGGGTGTTTGGTGTGAGACTATGATACCCTCCGACTCACTAACATGGAAGTTGGAAACCACTTCTTGGTAGAGGGAAGCAGTCCTATCACAGTCATGTGGCTTCCACTTTCCACTTCCATGTTAGTGAACTGGAGTTGGAGGGAAACTGCAAAGCGCACGAGAACACTATGGTGCTTGCCAAGTATCTACTGAAAAGACCGCCTGAGGAATACCTGCCACCTTCCCGCCGCTCCCAGACCTCCAAGTCGACACCTGCACTGGCAGCGTTGCAACTCTTAGTGCAAACTCCTTCCTTGCGCTGGTACGCGGCGGCCTCAGGACCGCCCAGGTTGCCCTCCGGCCTTCGGGTGGCCTGTCCGGAGAGAAAGCCAGCCTGTGGCATGCATTGAGCCCCGACCATGCGCGCTTGTTTTTGGCAGGACTCTTCAGTCTGGGGATGGCGGTGTATGGCACCGTGAATGTCCTGTGGCTGAAGGAGGCCAGTCTGTGAGTTTGATCTTGCTGTTATGTGGTGTTTGCATCTCACATGACTGTCGACCATTGCCACCGTGAGGCCTTTGGATGGAACGGGCAGGATGTTGGCCATTTCCTCTCGGCAGTTGGGGCGGCTCTTATGATCTCACAGGCTTCTTCCAAGCATGCAAAATTGCTTGGACAACCCCGACTTTTGGTACGGGGTTTTCATGACTTCAGCTGATTCCTTGATGTTCTTCTAGGTTATTTTCCTGCCCGTGCTGCTGCGTGTGGCAAAAGGGCGAGAATCCTGGGTGGTACAAGGAGAGAGATCGCGGTTCCTTACAATATTCCACCAGTTTCTCCACCTTCAACGTATATAATTGGGGGGATGGGCGCTTCGATTCGGCATGGCTTGACAAGGCTACTTGACAAGGGGCTTGGCATTCTGGCCTTAACAAGACGACAGGATGCCCGTTATCCATCAGTAGATCTGCCCCTTGTTCCTCAATGAGGAGCAATCGTGCTGCACGCCATCAAGTTTGTCGGCTATGCCTGGGCACCTCGTGGATGTTGGGCCTATGCAGTTCTAGTCCAGACCTGAGAGTACATACATAGGCATTTTCCTTTTCGAGTGAATCACTGTGGAGCAGGGAGGTTGCTTTTCATACTTTTTATGTTGCCTGGAGTGACCAACAGAAGCCTATGATTGCAGATTTTTTGTGGATGGAACATGTCGGGAAGATTTTGGTGGGAGGGGTGCTTTGCTCTCAGGCTGTCAGCTCGCCCACCTTTTGTGCAGCCCCCATCCTCTCAAGCACCTCGACAGCATGGGCATTGGATGCTCGCGAGGTGTCCGTACACTTGAAGCATCGATCCCAAGCTTTATCCTCAGGCCTTTGCACCAGGCACGTGCCAGCAACACAACAGGGTCTCTGGTCTGGGAGCGCCTCAGCCCTGTCAACTGCTGCCAATGTCGTGGGCCAGCGCCTCAGGGTCCAGCGCCTCGTGAGGGTCCTTGACTGCAGAAATCCTGACCTGAGGGGCGCTGATTGGCTCCCGGCTCCTAGCTTTGGCCCTCGACGGGTGACTTGGGCCAATTCCAAGGCCTCAGGTGGAAGGATGGGATGAGGCTACACTTCCAGAATGCACAGGCAAACAATGGTAAACATTTCCCAATCTTGGCCAATCAATATCAGTTTAGTGTCCCTTTATTCGTTGCTTGTGACACTCGAAGCACCTCAGGCATTTGCCCTTGGGGTCTCCACTTTATGCAGGCACTGTGCCGGATGCTCAGCTGGACAATTTCTTCAACAAGGGAATCCCTTTAAACGCCTGTAGTGTACCTTGAACCTACCTGAAAACTTAGTATTCCTGTGCGGTGGTGTTGCAACTTTCTCTAGACTAGCATGGATAGTAGATTCGAAGACATACGAGGTGGGATTCCCAAGCAAAGCGTCTCCATTTACTGTACTTCCCACATTGTCGAGTAGAAGACATTTGGACAGATTCAAACAGATTTTGTGAAGGTTTCATCTTATGGCTGCGCTCTGTGTGGGCTGTGGGAGCCGCCTGCCTGAGAAGAAGGCCCAAAGCTGTCAGAAGACAGAACCGTTCCTTTTCTTCCAAGGAGTTCCGGAGCGCTGGTGGCCAGATACTATTAAAAAAATGGCATTGAAGAGTAGACCCAACAGTTTGCCAGAAAGATGTTCTTGGGTTCTTGAGATGCCACAAATGGATAAGGGTGATATGAGTGATATGCTCCTTGCTCACTTCAAGGGTACTTATACTTTGTCGTGGCCGGAGGCGGATGAGCCAGCTCCAGAGGCCGAACCTCGGGGGGGAAGAAAAAACAAACGAGGAAGTGGTGGAAGCCTTTGGCGCCAAGGACTCTGTCGCTGGTGCTTGAGTTGGGACGCTGCTTAGCGCCCTTAGGACTTTGGATAGGCCCCCTGTTTGGCGTTTTCACTTCAAATTCTTTTAAGATCTTCATTGCTGAGAGACTTTGTCCACAGCAGTCTTGCAGCTCTGCACAAGGCTCAACACTGTAACATGTTCAATCACAGCGGACCATGGAGTTGAACAGAATTCAACAGCTAAGCCTTTGGCAGCGCTGCACAGTGTGTAGTGTACAGAATCAGTCTGCAAATGTCCATGCCTCCTATGTTAATTCTGGGAGTTGCTCAGATGAGTTACTCGAACCTTGCGAAGGCAAGGGCGGCGATTTTCGCGTTTGGAGCCGCTTTGGGGAGAGTTGCCCCTGGCAACTCGCGCAATGAACATGCCACAAGGTGGCAGCTGCAGATCGGGAAAGCTGGATGTCATGCATGGGCGACAGACAGCTCCGCATGAAAAGCACCTTTTCGCTGAAAACATGCGCCAAAGCGCATGCCATTGATGCGAAATAGCATTCGCAGATTGCAAGGACAAAAGTTGCAGTGTGTGACCTGTGGATCAGGAGTTTGACGGCACTGGGATGGCATTTTCGGACACGTGTGGGCATTGTGCTGCTGCCGCTGAGTCAGCTCATTGATTGGGATTCAAGATTGCGTGTCAAATCAACGATTCTTCCTCAAGTCTTCAGCTTCAATCCCTACTGTTTGTCATTCACGTCGGATGCGCAGCTGCCATAATGAAAGTGTAGCACAAAGAATCCAAGACCTAGACATAGCGTCCTTATAAGATATAAGCGGCCTTAGCTGACCACGAGAGGGTGCGGGCAAACTGCCTTCATTTGATTTTTGCTGCTCTGCCAGCGCTTTCACGATGTCCAGCCTGCTCCTTCTGTATGACGACGCCTGGCTCTTCGGAAGAGGCGGCGCTCGGTCAGGAAGACCGTCTGGCTGATTGGGTGCGTGGACTGCAAGGCGCGTGGTCGGGGCACTCCACAAGGCCAGTTTGTTCGATGCCTGACCAGATGCTGACTGGCGGCACCGTCGAGCCGCCATAGAAGAGCTGGTGGCCCACAGCAAGGCACGTGAGAGGCTGTTTGATGGCCTGTTGCGCTGACAAGTCGTGCAGGTGAGCTCAGCAGCTGCTTTGGAGTGCGTGGAGGCTTCAAGTAGTTCCCGGGCAAGCCGGCGGCGGAAGTTTCCAAAAGAATAAACCTATAGGAAATGGGCATGTGGCAGGTTGATTCGCCGAGCTGCGATGTTCTTTGACAAAACAAGTTGGACCCGACCAATGGAGCGAAAGCGAAGCAACCACCGTCAACTGTCTCGCAGGGAAAAAATGTTCATGCATTTTGCAAAAAACAGAATAGAGATGACTCAGCCGCGTAGTAAAGTTGTACTACAAAGTCGCTAGTTCTCAGCTTCCAGCTCCACGGCTTGCTCCGCGTACTAAAGTTGTACTAGAAATGTCGCCAGTTCTCATCTTCCAGCTCCACGGCTTGCTCCGCGTACTAAAGTTGTGCTACAAAGTCGCCAGTTCTCATCTTCCAGCTCCCCAGCTACTCCGCGCACTAAAGTTGTACTAGAAAGTCGCCAGTTCTCATCTTCCAGCTCCCCAGATACTCCGCGTACTGGAGTTATGGAGTTGTACTACAGCTCCAGCTCCACAGATTGCTCCGCGCACTAACTAAAGTTGTACTACAAAGTCGCCGGTTCTCAGCTTCCAGCTCCCCAGGTTCCTCCGCGTACTACAGTTGTACTACAAAGTCGCCAGTTCTCAGCCTCCACCTCGCCAGATTACTCCGCGCACTAAAGTTGTACTAGAAAGTTCACAAAGTGCTGTGCCTGCCACGAAATCTGCGCATGGAGGTTCACAAAGTACTGCGCCTGCCACGCAATCTGCACTTGGAGGTTGACAAAGTGCTGCGCCTGCCACGAAATCTGCACATGGAGGTTCACAAAGTGCTGCGCCTGCCACGAAATCTGCACATGGAGGTTCACAAAGTGCGTCGCTGGCCACGAAATCTGCGCATGGAGGTTCACAAAATGCTGTGCCTGCCACGAAACCTGCGCATGGAGGTTCACAAAGTGCTGCGCCTGCCACGAAATCTGCGCATGGAGGTTCACAAAATGCTGTGCCTGCCACGAAATCTGCGCTTCAAGAAACAAGTGAAAACTCTAATCGCAATGGAGGGACGATTCCGAGCATGATCCGAGGATGATCCGAGACCGTCTCGCAACCGTCGTTCCGCGGTTCGGAGAAGCATGGAGGTTCACAAGTGCTTTGCCTGCAATCTGCGCGTGGAGGTTCACAAAGTGCTGCGCTTGCCACGAAATCTGCACATGGAGGTTCACAAAGTGCTGTGCCTGCCACGTAAACTGGAGCTAGAGCTGTTGAAACTGGAGCTAACTGGAGCTAGAGCTATTGAAACTAGAGCTAACTCGAGCTAGAGCTATTGAAACTAGAGCTAACTGGAGCTAGAGCTATTGAAACTAGAGCTAACTAGAGTTAGAGCTATTGAAACTAGAGCTACCTGGGGCTAGAGCTCTTGAAACAAGAACTAACTGGAGCTAGAGCTCTTGAAACTAGAGCTAACTGGAGCTAGAACTCTTGAAACTAGAGCTAACTGGATGATGAGTGGTGTATGATGAGTGGTGTCTGATGAGTGGTGTATGATGAGCGGTGTATGATGAGTGGTGTATGATGAGCGGTGTATGATGAGTGTTGTATGGTGAGTGGTGTATGATGAGTGATGTATGACGAGTGGTGTGTGATGAGTGGTGTTTGATGAGTGGTGTATGATGAGTGATGCGTGATGAGTGGTGTAGTGTATGATGAGTGGTGTATGATGAGTGGTGTAGTATGATGAGTGGTGATTGATGAGTGGTGTATGATGAGTGGTGTATGATGAGTGATGTATGATGAGTGGTTTGATGAGTGGTGTATGATGACTGGGGTATATTGAGCGGTGTTTGATGAGTGGTGTATGATGAGTGATGTAAATGTTCGTAACACGGAACTTCTTCTAAATTTCCTGTGGTGAGTAAGAACCTGTCCTTGTTTGTTCTGACGTTTGGTTGAACGTTCGAAGTGCACGTTTCGCTCGTTTCTTGAACACTGCCAGGCTGTTCTGCCGCTCCTTGACTCACAAACGCGATGGCACACACGTGGGGCGGCTTGAAGTTGACGGGTTTTGTTACGGCCCGAAGAACCTGTGAGAAACTGAACACGTGCAAACCAATGAGAGCTCAGTCTGTCTGTGCATTTTCCATGCAATACACTGGGGGTTGTGTGGCATTGATTCATGTTTGATGTAATTTGCGGGCTCAAGAAGCAGCAAAGTTCAGTCTTATGGCACAAAGCTTCGAGGAAGATCCGATAGAGAGCTTGAGCCACTCAGAAAGACCTTGAAGATTGGCAGGCAAGTCTGTTCCGCTATAAGATCAACGGCACATGTCGCATAGTTTACGTCCATTGGCATCCTGCACGTAGATCTCCGGGTCAGACCCTTTGCAGCTTCTCCCTGTACATAGATCCATGGCGGCCATGGCGGAAGCGGCAGCGCCGAAGGCAGGCTATGAGACTGACATGGCCTCAAGGGAAAACGTGTACCTGCTGACTTACTCCTTCAACCAGGACTACCGGAAGGGAAGGTGCTTTGAAATTCGACGCTTGCTCATAAGTATGTTGACACGATTAGCTCCCTCGGTAGTTATGATGTGTCAACATGTGGGGGGTATTTGAAATAAATATTCCAAGTAGTACCGTGAGTTGATGGAATATGTTTGTTGGAATATTTTTTGGGGAATATTTACAGCCCTAGGTATAGGATACTGTATACTGGATACATACCATAATTATTCCACTAACTAAACTACCTAGTGGAATATTTAATTTTGGAGAACTGGAAGTATATAGGAATATTTTTTAATATTCCTGGAGGTATCGACAGTCAAGGGTATCTAAGACGCCCCCCATGTCAACATCCGTGTTTTCAACACGAAACGATTTTTGCTTCTGGTGTCACGCCCCGTCACCGTAGTACGCTTTTATCGTTTTTGAGCAATTGCTTCCAATTTCGTGTGGTATTTGCGCTGGTTTCTGATTTCCGCAGGGGCACTGGGGGAAAAATGGTGAGCATTTCACTCCTAGCGGGTTGACGACACTAGTAGTCGTGCACTTTTTTATCAAACCATGACGAGTTTGTCCGATGTCGTTGCAATATGCGTGAAAGTTGGCACCTTTGTTTTTTAAATGGCAACATTTTGTTATGTCACAGGTCCTTTTTGCGCGCTTGGACCGGAATTTCCTTGCGTTTCGGAATTTTTGTCGGTGGTAGTGTGTTGGATATGCTTGGAAGATGATGCCACACCCACAGACGCTTTGGAAGATGGGTGGGGTGGGGTGGGTGGGGGTGGGCGGGTGTAATCGCGTCTGGTTGGATCTGCTTGGAAGATGATACCACACGCACACACACTTATGGAAATGCGTAATTACTGACTTGACAGCGGTGCCACACGCCGGCCTAGGTTACCATTTCCTAAGGGTACAGGTAGACCAAACCAATAGCATCGACGGGACGGAAACCGATGAACCCAAACCTCATTAAAGAACCTAGGCAAGCCTGGTTGAACATGTGCGTGCTGTGTGTGCGCCTAAGTTTACGACAGGTTCCAATGAACCTTGAACAAACTTCGGTCGCTGCGACCACGTACGGCTTGCCCGTGGGCTGCCACCTCTGACCGCTACGGTCACGTAAAGGCATGAGCCAGCTTGGAATTCCAAAGATGAGACAAAATTTAAGTTCTTGTGGCGTGAGCCAGCTACTGTCCGCTGCGGACACGTACATCTCCGGGCAGGGGAGATAACGACGTACCCCCGTTCAACGGGTCCACGGGAGGCACTCTGCGGGCTCATCCCGGGTTGGCACGAGGCCAAACACACGTAGGATAGGGTGTACTGAACTGAAAGCGGTGCCACACGCCGGCCTAGGGTTCCAATTCCTAAGAGTACCAGTAAGGACCATCGAAACCTGGAGGTCTTAAAAGGAAAAGAGGCCAAAGTCTCAAGGCGACGACGAAGCGAAAGGGTGACGACGGTCGTACTTGTCTGCCGAGTGAGGTTCTGGGCTTAGCCTCATGCCATCCGGAAAAGGAAAATGCAGGTACGTCGGTGAGCGCCCCCACCGATATCAGTGTTCAATGCAAGCCTCTTCGTTGGGCTGGTACTTGCATGAACAACCAGCCCCCCTGCTGTGAAGCACAACAGAAAGACAAACCTGAAAAACAAACTTGAAAAATCCAAAAGGATCCCTATGATTCCAAGGGTTACACACACACACACGCACGCACACACACACACACACACGCCTCCCGACGGGAGGCGTATCGACAAAGTAGTAGCAAGGCCAGGAACCTCTAGTAGCGTCAAAGTAGCGTCCTAGCACCTATAGTAGGAAGGCCAGGAGCCCCTAGTAGCAACCCAAGCTAAGGTCCTGACAGAAAAAAAAGGGGTAGGGAGAGACGAGAAAAAGGAAAGGGAAGAAAGGAAGGTGTTCCCAGCTACGACGCATGCGCCCAAGGACACACCAAACAAGGAGCGGAGAAGGGTTCCCAGCTATGACAAAGCATCCAGGGACACCCAAGGAGGAAGGAAGGTGGAGAGGAAAGAGAGAAAGAAAGAAAGAGAGAGGGAGAGAAAGGGAGAGGAGAGAAAGGGAAAAGGCAGGTGTTCCCAGCTACGAACAATCGTCCAGGGACACACCAAAGAAAGAAAGGGGCGATCCTGAGTCTTCCATTCAGGAAAACACCAAAAAGCAAGGAAAGAAAGGGGGAGGGAAGGGGAAGGAGGGGGGACTAAGCTCGCGACAGGTTCCAATAAACCTTGAACAAACTTCGGTCGCTGCGACCACGTACGGCATGCCCGAGGGCGGCCACCTCTGACCGCTGCGGTCACGTAAAGGCATGAGCCAGCTTGGAATTCCAAAAATGAGACAAACATCCCACTTCTTGTGGCATAAGCCATCTGCTGTCCGCTCCGGACACTTACATCTCCGGGCAGGGGAGATAACGACAAACCCCCGTTCGACGGGTCCACGGGAGGCACTCTACGGGCTCATCCCGGGTTGGCACGAGGCCAAACACACTTATGGAAATGCATACTGGCTTGACAGCGGTGCCACACGCCGGCCTAGGTTACCATTTCCTAAGGGTACAGGTAGACGAAACCAATAGCATCGACGACCACGCAACAGGTTGACGACGTGCGTGCAGGACTGTGACTCATCTCCAGGTTCAGGTAAGTTAAAGATCTCCAGAGCTCAAAACGAAAAACGGACGAGCGACAGGATGACGGCGAAACGTGCATTAGCCCTTTATGAAGTACCTGAAAACCTAAACACCTCCTGGAACAACATCAGGTACGTGAACCACCATGAAACAAACCAAGGGACCACAGCAACCAATCAACAGTTTAACAATAGCAGGTACGTTTTCACCTCCCTGGCGCGCGGTCTTCGTTGGCCAGGACGCGCGCCAGGGAGTCCTGGCCCCCTGCTGAAGAAACAGTTCAACTGAATTCCTGTGACTACAAACAAGGGGCACACACACACACACACTTTCGAAGATCATGCACACTTGTGGAAACAAGGTTTCGTCGTCCTTGGCCTCACATGATTTGTTTCTAAAGTAGCAGAACCACATGGTTATTTAACAAAACGTGTCCCAAACATACGGCTGTATGGGGGCGTGTTACCTTGAGCTCCTTGTGGTGCTGGAAGCAACTTGGATTCTGAAAGATTGCGTAGGTGGTCAAATAGAATCAACACATGATTGAACAAGACAAAGTTATGTTTTGTTTTGGAGGACTTCTCCTGCTTCGTGTGTGGCACCACGGCGGGCTTCAGGGTCTTCACCCTCCAGGACTCCAAGGAGGGCTCGGGCATCGCTGAGCGCCTGAGGCGGGAGCCTTGCCCCAAGAGCTCGGTGATGCACGTGGCCATGCTCTACAAGAGCAGTATCTCTCTACAAGAGCAGTATTTCCACGATTTTCACCTTCGAAGTTCTTTTTGACATTCATCTATATATATATATATATTAGGGGAGATTCGTGCAGATTAAATTCAGTGGATTTGTTTTCATGCTTGAGGATCAGGATTACATTACATAGTGTCCAATGTCATTCTTGGCGGGAACTTGACACCAAGCAGATGTTGCAGGGTTGGCTGGACTGACGAAGGCTCAGCCAACAGAAAAGACTCGAAGTCCAGCCAAGGTATCTTTGCCATGGTGAATCAGACCTTTGAGCCCTCAGGGGAGCCCTCACAGGGCTGCAGGAACAAGGCCGGCACACATCCAAAGCGACTGTTGGGGCGGCCAGGGGAGCTTCCTTGAAGAAGTGTGAGCTATCCTGAGCCCGTTCGCCAGTCTGCTTGATTATATAAGTAAGGGTGGGCTAAACAAACACACAGGAAACAATTGGTTAAGATGGAATTCGAAGAACTCTTAGCCTTGGCTCGGATCTGTCAGGTTCAAATCTGGGAGGAACGCAAGCAGAAGGTGGTGGCAGAACTCCGCTGTCGCAATGAGGTCAAAGGCGTGTGCTTGCATAGGGTGTCTCGGTTCAGTCGGCACTGTTTTCATCCGATTGTCTAGGACTATTGAGAAGTTCAATTCTATATGTTTCGTGCAGATTTCATTGCTTCTTCCCGTGGTCCAGGACATCATTGTGATGGTTTGCGAGTATGTCATCTACGTCTACACTTCGGGCGATGTGAAGGATTGGTTGAGCATAAATACAGCTCCCCCCGATCAGAACAGTCTGTCACTTTCCTCGTTGCACTAATGCAGGCAATTGTCAGATCTTTAGCCCTGCTGAGTGTGCAAGTTTTCTCCTTTGACTTTGTCATAGGGTTTGCAAGCTGAGAGGTAATCCTTCATCTGGACACCGGCTCCAACAAGTTGGGCCTATGTGCCCTGGCCACAGGCAGTGATCCCTGGCTCTTGTGCTGCCCAGCCCAGATGCTTGTCTCTATCACTTGCCCTGTGCTGGTAACAGCCCGCAAACACAACTGGCGCATGAGTCACACCAGCCGTGATTTCACCCCTAACCTGCCAAGGAACAAGGGGGCGATTCGCATCCAAGTTGGACAAGATGCGCAAGCTACCCATGTTTTTCAGGCGCCAGGACCACGGGCAGGTGACCGAGGTTGAATTTCCACCCCATGCTAGCAATGAAGGAAGTTCATCGGTGTGGATGGCTGGTGAGGGGACTGAGTCGCCGCGAGAAAGGCAACTTATTTGTCTGCATAGCTCAGGTAATTATATATAAACAGTTGCGGGCAATGGTGGGATCATGAAGTCACTGGTTGGACTCGCTGGAATTTTATCGCTGGCTAGGGTAGCCACGTGAATGAACAGGTAGGAAGGAAGCAATCAGTGAGCGTGTTGCACCAACTGGCATTTAATAGGTTGTGAGCCCGCTTGGAGGCCATCCAGAATACATGCCGTAGTTACTACTTGGAAGATTTGATCCAATGATTATGACATCATGCACTTCATATCCCCTGGTCTGGTCCAGCCATCGTGGGCCAGGCACACCAGTCAGGGCTTGCAGCGCTGGCCCTGAATGCTTCGGGCTCCCTGGTGGCCACTGCATCAGAGACGGGCACAGCCGAGGCCTCAGGATGTGAACGACACGTTGAGGCCGAGGCTTGAGCACTGTTGCACAGCTTAGCTGCTCTTGTCCACTGCGCAAAAGATGACAATCTTGACAGCAAACCACTGAGGTGATGAAGGTCTTTCGTACCGCGGACGGCGAGGCGCTGTACAGGTTGCGCCGGAGCACGCGGCCGGCGTCGATCTCAAGCTTGGCCTTCCGGCCCGATGACTGCTATTTGGCCGTGGCGTGGCTCGGCGCAGCGTAGCTTCATGGCCCATGCACCATGCCGCAGTTGAAATACAGTAAACATTGAACAAATACAAACGCCCCAACAAACATGGTACACTCTTCAAAACCAACAGTATTAAAAGTTCTCCATGAACAAATCCATTGACAAAAAGGAAACATCTCAGGTCTTCTTCCGTCACGGTGCACATCTTCAAGCTGGACAACGCCACAGCCACGGAGGTGGATGAGAAGACTGACAAGGAGAACTCACTGGCCTCCTCGCCAGCCTTGGAGCCTGCTCCAGACCCCCAATGGCCCAGCCCTTTGACAGCTTTGCAGACCTTGCAGTCGAAGGCTGCTGAAGCTGTTCGAGGCCTCACTCCACAGTACCTGGCCGACCTACGCAGCTTTGGGCAGTTCCGGCTCCCGGACATGGATGGTGGGACTCCAGCGGTGGACACCCGTAGCAAGCAAGCGACCATTGCTGGCCCCATCCTTGCTTTTCACAAGACCGAGCCACGACTCTACATTTTGCATTATAATGGCTTCCTCTATGAGTGCAGCTTCCAGCCGGACTTCGACCCCAAGGCGACCCAGGAATGCAGCTTCATCTCAGCCACCACCTGGTTTGCGACCCGCCCTGATTTTAAGGTGTCGAAACCCATCACCGAGTTGAGGACAGAGCCCGGGGGGTGAGGGTGATGACGCAGCGGATGAATGGCAACTCTTATAGGATCAGGGCCAAGATGCGGGCCGAAGTTCGCCCGAAGAAGTGCTGGTTCCTTTGCCTTTAGCCTTCACTTCTGCATCCATTCTGCCGGAACCTGCGGAACAAAAATTGGTCTTTTGTTTACCACGCTGGGTGTTCACAAGTTGGATTGACAGGCAACTGGCCGAACAGAGCAGCTTGCGTTCTCCCAAGCCTTTGCTTGCTCAGGTGCTGCAGCCATGCAGGTCCTCAAGGGATGCGACCAGGCATGGGGGCGTTCATCAACCTTGAACACAGCGGCATTCATAAATAAATAAACACACACACATATATATATATATGATCCCCGTCAGATTTTCCACTACAAAATCAAAGGGGCTTGCTGCAGGTTTATAGTTAAACATCTTCCCCAGGGTTGAACTATAAAATCATGATCACTAAAACTGCATAAGAGGAGGATCACTGGCTGGTCAAAATTGAGATCACGATTTTATAGTGAACTGCGTTTTCCAAAAGAAACTGCTTCTCACAAACTTCTAGAAGAGAAATTGACTTTATAATGAAACATGTTGTTTTGATGTTATAGCCTCAGATTTTACAACTTTATAGGGGTCCAAATGGACAACTTTAAAACTGATAATTATACAGCAAAGTGAGCTAGTGCAAAAATATGACATTGATTTTATACTCATATTGATTTTATACAGAAATAAGTGGCCACTTCGAGAGAAGATTTAACATATACTGTAGAGTGGTATATGTGTAAACGCATTTTTGTTGATCCATTTGGTGTCTTTCCGATTTCTTTGTCGTGGCTGTTCAAGCAAACAAATACTATAAAATACCAGGGTAGAGTAACTCTGGCACAGTTTTTATACATCTGTTGTGGCTGTACAAGCCTTTTATGGACCTGTGCACCCCATTCTATAGTGACTTCATTTGGCTGTCCTGTGAGCTAAGGATGTCAGGTTTGTTCCATTGTTGTATTGATTTTATAGTTTTCAGTGTGTATGCGCGCTGCTGAAAAATGACATTTTATAGTGTAACTCTACCCCCCGAAACCCCTAACCCTGCAGGTTAAGTGCTATAAAATGGGGGGGACAAGTATATAACTATGTAATTTTTACGGGGATTATATATATAGTATATATATATATATTTTGAGTATATATATAGTATATATTACATACACATGTTTTTTAGTTTTTCGAAAACATTTTTAGCATCATGCTTCAGGGGGTGTAGGTTAGATGTCTGGCATGAGGGGCGTGATTTTTGGACTTGTGAGACGAGTTTAAGGCACCATTTCAGCTCCTATTCGTCAGTCACATGCGCCAGGAGGGCCATGTGCAGGCGCTTGAACGAAGGGCCTTTTCCTCAAAGCGCTGACCTCCTGGCTACTAGTAGTAGTAGTAGTAGTGGTAGTTATGCCCTTGTTACTAGTAGCTTCTAGCTACTAGTGGTACAGAATCTGTACTCTGACCGCCTTGTCCTTTCTGTTGTTTGCAAGTGAGCTTTGAGGTGACTAAGCGACGAGAAGTCACGGAGTTCCTGGAGCAGGTCGGCAAAAACCCTCACTGAATGCCATGTAGTCAGGTGAGAAGAATGGGCATCACAGGAAAGAAAGTGCATGCCAGACCAGGTTGTGATTGAAAGCCGGAGAAGGGAGGATAAGTCTCAATTGCGTTCAGCATGAATTCTGGTTTGCCGCTGGCTAGCCCTTCTTTATGGCTTTACATGAGCTTGCAAGTGCGAGTCATGGCATATAGTTGCTATATGCACCATGCCTCAAGCAAAGGCGAACCACGTCAAGCTACAACAGAGCATCCAAGTAGGAACTTGCGTCTCCGCAGCAATGTCTAGGAGCCCTCGAGTGGAGCAATCTCGAAAGACTCGTCATCATCGACACGGACCTTTAAGCTATGAAATCTTTCGCAGGATGGACTCTTTGCAGCTACATGCCCCCTTTGACCAGAAAGAAAGAGAGCTTGCGGACAAGAGAGCCAAATGCCACGACACGGGCCGGAAGGAGGAAAAGTTGGCCACACGAGTGCGACAGTTCTTGAATGTCCTAGTGGGTGTCAGCGTGGGCCTTGCAGCTGTCGTGGTTCGTCTCGGCTCTGACAAGCTGGGCAATTGGCGCCGGGAGACCTTCAAGAACCTTTTGGCTGGCAACTCGGTTGGATGTTGCGTATATTGTATTGATCATTTTGCATGATCTACTAGGGAGCCACCTAGTGGAATGTCAAGAGATCAGTGGTATTTGTTTCGGGCTTCACACAGGGACTTGGAGGGGTGGGATGGGGTAAGAAGTGAGGCAAAGAGCACTGGGACTTGGAGTTTGGCGGAGTTGTCTTGCTTGCAATGGGGATGACAGCAGGGTTCGCAGTGCTGAGTACCGTGGCAGTGGTCCTGGTGCCCACCAGCAGTGGCTCCGGCATCCCAGGTGTTTTGGCCTTCCTCAACGGATGTGACCTACACGTCGCCCTTAGAGGCCAGGTCTTAGTAGCCAAGGTCTTTGGCACGATTCTGTCTGTCGGAGGAGGCTTGGCTCTAGGCCCTGAAGGGCCCATGGTCCACATCGGTGCCATTGTGGGGATGTTGGTTTGCCGCCGCTGCTTGGCACCGGCACTGAAGCGGCTTGGGCCCTTTTCGCAAAATTTGGAAGCAGAGCTCTCGCGACAGCCTTTGCGGTATCACATTCAGGCGGCGGTGATGGGTGCAGGTGCTGGCATCGCAGCAGCATTCAATGCGCCCTTGGCGGGCACGGTCTTTGTGGTGGAAGAGGCCGCATCGTTTTTCTCCAAGAAACTTCTCTTACATTCCTTCATCAGCTGCACCTTCGCAGTTCTTACATGCAATGTCGTCTCTGACCTCGTCGGCCTAGAACGTGAGACCATCTACACGCGCACTGCAGCTTGCGTTGGGGTGATACAGTCTTGGATGGATAGCCCTTGGATGTCCTTCCATGTTGCAGTGGTTGGCGTGTTGTGCGGCTTGCTCGCTATTTTCTTCAACAGAGTCGTTGTGGCACTCGGCAGTTACTTTGCTCAGGAGGCACAACAGCTAGGGAGGGGGGCCGTCCTTGTTCCTCCGCCGGTTTGGCTTCTCCATCCTTGTTGGCAGCTGTTGTGGTGCCTTCGCAGTTTGCCTCCCTCAAGCCCAGCCATGCTTAGATTCAAGCCTTCAGAATGCTTTTCACGGAAGCAGTGGCTGCATCATGGAGGAATGGTTGGAGCAGCTGGTATCTGATGCTCGCTATGTGCCTACTAGCCTTCTACCAGAGGAGTTTCAAGATGACAGTCCGAAGCACAAGGCTGGTTTCACCATGAGCTACCAGCCACGGTACGGGCTTTTTGCAGCTCAGTATGATCCGCTGCAATGCCCTGTTGCAATATCGCTGCACCTCCCCTGAACTATTGTTTTTTTGGCAACCCCTTTTGTTTGAGCTTTTGCAGACATTTCCCCAATTCAAATTCCCTGTATATAAGAGGTCCAAGCGCAACCCAGGCAAAAAGACTGCCGAGTGAAGGGCATCGAGAACTACATAACCAAAGAGATCAATGTTTCCGCCACCGACTTTTGCTGCCGGTTTGACGACATCACATCTCTCAAGCAAGGAAAGTTCCACAACTTGTCAGAGCCAAAGACTCCGATGGAGATGGGAGAAAATTGGCCCACGGGTCCTTGCCCAGCACTCACCTGGGATGACAAGGAGAAAAGCCACATGGGTCACTATAGTCCAGCGGCTGCTTTGACCTTGGTGCCCCCCACTGCGGTGGTTCAAAACCTCCTGGTGCGCGGTGCCCCAGGGGTTTTGCCCTACACGACGGTTGGTGCCTTCGCTTTGGGATATTTCATCTTGGCTGCCTGCAGCTCGACTGCCTGGATGCCTGGAGGTTTGCTGGTGCCCATGATGTGCATCGGCGCGGCGGTGGGTCGCTTATATGGACTCTTTTGGCATGCAGTCTTGGGAGGAGCACCTCCAAGTTGTGGCATCCCATGGATTCCGGAGTTGAAGCCTTTGTTGCAGGCGCTGTATCCAAGAACTGAGCCCTTACCGATGGAACCTGGGATCCTAGCCTTTGCGGGCTGTGCGGCCTTCCTCAGTGGTAGTGGCTCACTGGTGATGTTTGTGCTGGTGCTTCTTCTGGAGGTTACTCTCGATCCCTTTCTGATCCCCGTGATCTTGATCTCCGTTCTCTCGGCCAGAACGGTTACTTCTCTGATGAAAGCTCACGGCCTGTACCACGAGCTCATGAATGTTCAATCCTTGCCGTTTTTGTCAGAAACTCCACACTGGCGCCAGTCGCACTACGTAGTCCAAGACCTGCTGCACCAGGATGCCAGAACGCAGCGAATGAACCAACCTTTCTCCCCTGACTTGGAGGGTCAATTTGACCGCGAGTTTCCAGAAGTGATTTCTTTGTCTCGAAGAGCCACAGAGGCGGAGATTGTTGAAGCCCTTGAGAAGCGTTTGCCAGGAGATGAACGCACCCTAGTTCATGGCTTTCCCGTGGTTGAGCCTCCCTCTCCCAATGATCCTGGAGGGCAGCTTTGTGGCCTTGTCACCCGGGAAGCCTTGCTGGGTTTGTTGGTTACAACCAATAGCCATGGGAGTGGCCGAGTGGATGTGGTGCCGAACAGTCCAGCTGTGTCTCGTGCTGCTCGAAGTGAGCGCTCTTTGAGTCGAGAGCCTTTCAGTCAGCATTTCGCAGTACCAGCAGGCCTTGAGGATGTCATGGATTCAGCTCCATTTGTCGTTCAAGGCTCGACACCTGTGGTTCAAGCTCACATGCTTTTTGCCCGATGTGGGTTGCGACATGTGGTGGTGGTGGACAGCGGACACAGGCCTATCGGTGTGTTGACACGGAAAAGCTTGATGCCCTGGCGGACCCCATGGTTGGATGAAGACAATCTTCACAATGACACATTCCTGGAACAGAGGGCAGCACATTCGCCAACCGCGTCGCGCGGGAATTCTGCACCCAGTACGCCCACCATCTCCAGGCTGGGATCCCATGCCATCCCAGAGAGAGGACCACACTCCGTTCGAAAGCGCTCCACCGACGTCTTGGAAGGGAATCTGAGTCCATTGGCCGAATCAATGCGGCTGACCACCATGACAGCCGATGAGGCCACAGGCTCTGGAGAAGCAGAGGCCGGAGAGGCTGGAGAGGGTGGACAGATGGTCTTGGAAGGTGCTGATGAACCTACGGGTCCGGGTGAAGCTGGTCAGTCCGCATCACAGTGATTCGTGCGTTCATACCTTGTTTGCTGAATTGTTGGTTCAGCAAGTTTCACCGTCAAGTTGACAGAGGGTCAAGTTGGCAACGTTTGGAGAAACCAGCTTTTTGTGCGGCGGGTGGGCATGTAGAGCTGGTTTGACCTCAGTGTTCGGACATCGATGTGGAGTGGGCGTCCCCGCGCCAGGCCAGACCGCAAGGGCCCAAGTTTTGCATGGGCCGCATGACGAAACTATAGGTATATACTTGACCAGAAAAGTTTTCCTTTTCCTAGGGCTTGATGCCGAGCTTGTAGTGGGGGGGAAGGTTTGCCTTTTGGTGTGCTGCAGTCTTTCCCCATTTTGAGATTTTTCCCCAAACAGTTTACTGTTGGGGTTCCATCTTAGAAAAAAAGAGCTGGCCACACTCACTGGCCGCGCCCCTGAACTCTGTGGCTGGGCTCTGTGGCCCGGCTCTGTGTCCTCCTCTTGTCCTCTTGTCCTTGTCTTGGCCGCGCCCCTGAACTCTGTGGCTGGTCTCTGTGGCCCGGTTTGCTGGAGAGGAGTGTGGCCGAACAAATAGCGATGTCAATGCCGACAAAAAACTCATTGATGAAGCAGTTTGCTCTTGGGGTGAAGGTAGGGCGTACCAAGAAATCGTTTTTTCAAACTAATATTGGTCCAAACGAATCGCTTTGAAGCTGTTTGGGGTCTATGCTGGTATAGCTTGAGTGTCTGTGCCGTGTTTGGGCTGCTCTCCGCCTCGCGCTGCCGACCTCTGCCTTTCAATCCTTTGCCTTTACGTTTCTCTTTCTGGCTGACTTGTCCGCCTGCAGCGCCGGCCAAAAAACTGTTAAGCAGCAGAACCAACCCGACCGCACACATATTGATATTGTTGTTTTTTTTGTTATATTCTTTTTTTTGGGGGGCATTGCATGTAAAGTATTTTGATAGAGTTCATCCTTCACGATCTTCTACTGTATCGCGTGAACAGCGATGTGGTGATGTGAGAACTGATGAGCTTTTGCGGCGCGTGTCATGTCGGAAGTGTCTTTGAGGCTAGACAACGTAGAGGCAGGGCAATTTCATTCAGCATTGCGCACTTTTTGCCCTGTGACACTCTGAAACAATGCGCTTCCAGACTTCTGACAAGACCTGCCCATCCAACTTGTGACGTGGCGGCAGCACTTGAATACATCGAACAACTAGTTGTCAAGGCTGATCCGGATCTCGAGATTGCAGATCTCGATGATGAGAGTCAGCGCTGGTGACTGAGTTTCCAAGCAGCATGGAGAATCGCTATTAGGTTGGAGGCCATCGCTATTCGGTTGAGGCCATCGCTATTAGGTTGGAGGCCATCGCT